TAAATTGAATTTTGAATGCGTATTCTTGATTGTCTCTCTCTCTATATATATATACACATAGACACCTTAATGCACAATATTATCATACAGCTACTAAACAAAGAGATGGTTTTGAAATCTATCTGAAGACATAGGCCTAAAAATACAGAAACAATGTTTATCTATTACTGACCCTTAGCATTTAGCCCTGCATAAAGGACTGTTTCTGTTCCTGGAATTCTTTAAGAAATGAAGTACAACCCCAAGTGTCTGATGTAATAAATAAGAACTAGTATACAAGGTTAAATGATACATAATATCATTTTAAATGTGCACACTAACCAAAGAGGGCTGTTAACAAAGTGTTTTTCAGGTATAAAGTATGACTCAGGGATAAGCTTTCGCTTCCTTTCTTCTGTTCATTCAGCAACATATTTAGAGCCTTCCATAGACCAAGCTTTACTCTAGGCTCTATGGAATTTGTTGTAAACAAAATGGACCAATGTTCCTTGTCCTGGAACCAATAAAAATTGAAGATGGAAGGCAAGAATAAATAAGTAAACAACAACAACAACAAAACCCAAGATAAATAAGTAGATAAACAATGATCAAAAAAAATTTTTGAAATAATTATTCTAATTCTTTATAGCCACTGAATCTTATGAGAGTTCATAGTAAATAAATTACTTACAACAGCCAAACAGGGCTCAGCAAGAAACCAAAGGACTTTTGGCAAACCAAGACCCTGATGATTATTGTATTTAAATGGTGGAATAAAATATTGTAATAACAAAGACTTTTGTTTTTCAACATCAAGCAACTATTAGGTTTTGCAAAATTATTTCTTCTCCCTCAAAGAAAGCACCTTGACAGTATTAACCAATGCAAACACAACCATACATGGTCTTTATGTGCAAATACCATGATTACATAAAAACGTAGCTTAACCTTCATAGGATACAGACATATACAGTAAAATGGAAAAAACCCACTATTTTTATAAAAAAAAAATTTTTTCAATTTTAGTTTGATTTTTTTCTCATTTGGAACTTACTACTTTTATTTTTCATTTTTTTGGTGCTTTTTCCTTCTCTGTTCTTGCATTCTTATATCTTCAGATTTCTTCTTTAAAAGATTTAATGTCTATGAATTTTCCTCTGATTACAATCTTAGCTAAAGCACATCAGTGATCTCATATTCTAAATATTTCGTCATTGCTTTTACGCTTCCTTCTTGGCTCCACAGCTTCTAAGTGGAGTGATTTTTTATTTCCATGTAGTTGGAATATTTGTTATTGATTTAGGATGTGATCAGAAGACATGGGGCTTTTAAAATATCATTTTCCTTGGGAAATTTCCCATTTTTTTTTATTAATGATTAGTAGTTTCAACTACTTATGTATACTTTAAAAGGTAATATAGTTTCTGTTTGTGGAAACAAAAAAGTTTCAAACATATTTCTATTGATTTAATTCTACTATTTATATAACCAAAATATCCTATATTCTTTTACTCTGGTCTACTTCATCTATCAAATTGAAAGTAAAGTGATAAAGTCATCTTCTACAACTCTGTCCATATCTTTTGTAACTATAAGTTTCAACTTGTATTTTAATATTACACCTTTGTAACATAAAGGATTTAACTGTCATACTTTCCTTTACTGTGATATAATCCTTTTGTCAATTTCTAATGCATATTTTCTTCTATTGTGTCTGATACGAATTCTGCCATATTTGTTTTCTTCATTTTCAATTTTCCCTAACATATTTGTCCATTTTCAATTTTAACCTTTCTAGGTCAACTTATTTCAAGACTTCCTGGTAAACAGCTTTTAATTGGATTTTGTTTCTTAACCCAATCTAAGGTCTTTTTTTATAAATTAGGGAATTCAGCTGATTATTTATGTCTTAATTGTGTTTGACTTTGCTTTATCCTATTTTTCTTTATTTGCTCTCCCCTACCACCTGCTCCTCATTTGTGTTGCAGGGACTATTTCTTAGTTAATTTTGTACCTAGGAACCTAGTCTTGTGCCTGGCACATAACAGGCACTCACTAAGTGTTTGTGGAACGAATTAATACATTCAGCATATACCATTTGTGCAATGATGTGGAAGACACATACACTGCTTTTAGTTCTATTAGTGGTTAATTTTTTGAATCATTTAAAAGCCATTATTAAGCTTTCAAGGTTAACAGCACAATAATGAAGTTACACTCTTCTGTCCTAAACATGTTGAGTTTAGAAATTTTGAACTCCTTTTGGGAAATCTACTACTCCAGTCTTTGTCAACTTAAGTCATATTTATGACCATCACTATTTTATTATTTTTGTAATATGAAGCCATTACTTCACATAAAAGTGCATTTAAGATGATTCTTTAGATGTACACCTTTTTATTTAACTTGTATCCATTTTTACTTCCAGTCCTTCCAGTTATGACATCCTCATGCTTATTATTTTTTATTTCTAATTATTCTGGTAAATATTTCTAATTAGTGTATTCAGTGAAGTGCCAGGGTTTCTACATCTTTGTCCATATATGAACATTTTCTACTGCTTTCCAAACCTGATGGCCCAGGTTTGAAGTATATCAGGATCTCTAAATCTCAAGTTGCCTTGGAGATTCCAACATGACTTTTTTGGAGTCATGTTTCTCATCCATCAAGCCAAAGATTTCTGTTAGTAACACAGTCTGTGTGCACAGCTGGTTAACAGCTATCAGTTGTAGCCTCAGGTGTACTGGGAGCAGGTGAAAATTTGAGACACAGTATTTTAGACTGCAGTGTCACTGACAAGGCTGAGTCTAATACTTCTTGTTTCTGCATCGGTATCTTCACTTTCTATTCTGAGGTACCTGGCTGGGTCTGGATCAGGGCCATCTCTGTGGCTAACACTACAGTGTTGGGATTGGCAGCCTCTCCAGAACCACATGCGGTGGGAAGAGGGAGTTCTCTAAACAAACAGCAGCGCTGTTTCTAGAATGTGGAGGCAGGGATGCTAGGCCGCCAGAAACCATATGTATCCACTCTAGGCAAGCTGATGAGAAAGGGATTTCATGAAACCAAATTTGGACCTTCTGAGTGAGTCTTCTAAACATTTTGACCAAGAGTTTTTAGATTACGAGATTTAAACCTAAGGAACTGACTTGAGGTAATTTTCTGAATCTTATTCCTCGTTTGTTTGTTTTATTTTTTTAAGTACACAGGTCTTTTAGTTAGCTTGGATAACATATTAGTGGCATGGAATGCAGTTATTACATTTTTTTCCTGAAACAATTAGATAATTTAAACCACGGAAATTAAATGTTTACATATTCATGTTGTCACAGGAAGCAGACATTATTATGTGGGGCAGTGGAGGATTTTGCACTTGGCATTCCAAATTCCTTATTGCCACTATTTTCTTATTTTTACAATGTGGACTCTTCCTTTCATGTAAAAAATGTATTTTGGACAACAAATTAAAAGCCTACGTATGTCTTATGCCATAGATTGAGTTTAGCGTTAACTGTAAAGGTGTATTGGAAGAGAAGGGAGTGTTTACTGGTGGGGACTGCAGGGCTAACGCGAGGCAAAAAGGGGCTCTCAAATGCAGGCATTTAGTGCACAGATGATCCTCACAGTTATTCTCACACATGCTACTTCAAAAACAGAACTAAAGAAAGTAAAATTAAAATAGCTAAGAGGAAATTATTAAAATATCAAATGAATAGAAAATATAGCATTAAAAACATACAATGGTCATAAAAAATTAGTTTCAGTAAAATCAGTTTGTTTAACTACAACGCACTGTAGGCCAAGGTGGCAGACGACCGTACGTGTCCTGTTCGGCTGGACTGACCGTGTGAGTGCAGAGTTCTCTGTAGGATGATTCGAGCCATTAGTGGAGAACGAAGACGAACGCCAAAGTCCATACTGAGTTTTGGCATCTTAAACTCAGAATGTTCTGTATGGTAAGCCAACTGGACTCCCTAAATCTTTTCCAAACTTGTTGCTGACAAACTACATCCTTTCCCTTCCTATGCTGTACAAGTTTTTCTACTTTCAATCCAAGAACAGGGTTTTATTTTTACAAATGATTTGGTTCATTATTTCAGACCATGGCTATTGAGACTCTGTGATCAAGTGCCTTTACTCTGTTTGCCTCCAAGTTTCCGGTAATCTACAAAAGTTATCTTCTGCATCCCACTTCAAATTGCTGGTAAAAATAGATAGGGCACATCTTGTTTAATTACAGTTTTAAAAGGACGCATACAATTGTAGTCATAGGAAAATGTTTGCTTTTTTCTATTTTCCAGTGTTTCTAGAGAAAGAAAAACATGACAACCCTCATTCTTTGCTTTATGGGGGTAGAGACCTTATTGCTGGAACCTACGAGAGGAAACCTTCTGGAAATATGGGAGGGGAGGGGAGGGGGGTCGGGATGAGGGATTCTGCTGGGAGATTCCTTATTTAGACAGGCTCAGGCCTGTGTAAAACATGGTGAAGGGGAGAAGAGGCAGAGTAAGAAACAAGAGGACTGGACAATGTCCCCAACAAGGAGATTTCCTCCTGTCAGAGCCATTTGTTGCTGCTAATGTTGTTTTACTTTTTATCCAAGTAATAATATAAAGAACACGGGCAAAAATTTCTTTGCAACATCATGGCAAAACACTACAACTACAGCTAAAATGTGGCAATTTTGAAATGGACAGGCTTATGCTATCCATCTCACAGAAGAGAGGCAGTAGGAGAAATCCTGCCCCACCACCCACCACACACTGGGGAGGTGAGTATATTCATTAGGACACCTTGTTAAAGCAAGAGGGAAGAATGAGGGAAAACATTCCAGAAGTTCTGTCAACATATAACCATTCTGGTCATAAAGAACTGAACAAAATACAATAAAGTTGAAAAGTCACCATTTCTATAGCAAATACTGTGCTTTAATTCAGATTTAATTAATAAGTTATTAACAAGCTATTACCCTGAAACAAAAACTTTTTACTAAAGGAAAAAAAAGACATGCACAACCCAAAGACAATCTGCTTTTACTTCATTGAATACTATCTTACACACAATATTTACAGATATAATTAAACAGAATTTATAAGATTATCATGTGGAACATTTTTCAAAGTTAATCTGAAACTCATAATAAAAATCATCAATGCATGTGTGTTACAATACAATACAATAATAGAATGTAGAACTTTTCAGCCAATCTCATGATGGTTAATTTCATAAAAACTTTCTTTTCAAAAAGAGATAAGTCTGAGGAAATATTTTAAAAATTCAGAAAAAATATTTCCATATCTAGTCATAATCTTCCAGCTTTTCTGTAAAAAAAAATTATAGACATTCTCAATTGCATACATGACTATTTTCTTTAATACTATATTTAACTTTTAGCATATTAGAGTTGTTTCTCGTTTATCATATTTTCAGCACAGGTTTAAATGTTTTTCTTATGTTTCAAAAGCAATACATAATTTAAATTTAAAACCAGTATCTGAATATTATTTTAAAAATAGTAACAAGACGTGGCCACCACTATACCTTGGCTCTTCATTACGGCTGGTCCATGGAAGGGAACCGCATGGACAACAAAAGTGAGGGAGTCCTCTAACCAGTTCTAAGTGTGATTTATTGGAGGTGCCAATTGCTTTCACAGACATTAAGAAGACATCAGAAACAGCATCTACACCTGTATGTCTGAGAGAATACTAGGTATCTGGGGGCTAATGGTCCTAACTTACATCTATAACAACATTCTTAGAATAGAACCACAAAAAACATAGGGATAACGGTAGCACAGTGACATATGAGGAAGAGTTAACTTCTCTATCTGCACAAATGTGGAGGCATTTCACTCTGATTTTCGGTGAGCTAGATTTACTACCCATTCACAGAAGTCAAGAATTACAGCATTTCTCATCTTTAAAAAGTAGAGGATGTGCTATTATACAGAGTTTATTTTCCTTTGGAAAAAAAACATGGTTCTTCAAAAGATATTACAATCATTTTTGGAAAACCTAGATATTAAAAGGTAAAGGATCTAATTGTATCTACTCATTATGAAACATTTCAAAATCAGTGGGTCAGTGATAGTAACTTTTATATTAAAACTCTGAAAAGCTAACTTAATAATTTGTGGTATTCATTTTATTAGAATAACACCACTGAAGGGGCAGATAAGCATGACTTAGAAAATCATAATGAATAAATACCATTTATTATCTACTATGTAAAAAACATTCACTTGCTAAAAAAAGATTCTGGAAATGGTGGTGGTGCTGGGTTTTGGGGTTTGTGTGTTTGTTTTTCAAGTAAAATTTCCCCTTATATACAATAAACAGATCTTTTGCTCAGGAAATCCATTTCTCAGATAATATACAAGCAAATTTCAGAATGTTATGAATTATCATATCATGTAAATAACTAGAACATAAATTAATGGTGCTTGAGGGGCCATTTTTAAATACAGAAAGTACCCCTATTCATGAAAAGTTTAAGCAGTTGAAAAAATATATATACAAATAAAGGTTGAACTTGAAACAATGGTATAAAGTATACTTACAATCTAAACCATGGTAGAGAGCATCATCATCTAGCGATTAACTATTCAATGTTAACATATGCATGCATCAATTTTTTAGAAATCACGTATACATATGCTAGATATGTTTATATTAAATATAAATATAGCCAGGAGCAGTGGCTCATGCCTGTAATCCCAGCATTTTGGGGGGCTGAGGCAGGCAAATCACTTGAGGTCAGGAGTTCAAGACCAGCCCGGCTTCAACATGGTGAAACCCCACCTCCACTAAAAACACAAAAATTAGCCAGGCATACTGGCAGGTGCCTGTAATCCCAGCTACTCGGGAGGCTGACGCAGGAGAATCACTTGAATTCGGGAATAGGGGTTGCAGTGAGCTGAGATCTCATCACTGGAGTCCAGCCTGGGCAAAAGAGTGAGACTCCATCTCAAAAACAACAACAAAAATGTAAATATACTACCATAAATTTGAATTTTCTTCTAAAGCACGTATTTTGTTCAGAAAGTTGCCTTTTACCAAAATACAAAACACTTATGGTGGTTGTGTCTTGGTTAATAGGACATTAATGTCAGAGATACATAATAGCTTTCTCAAAATGCAGGGCATACCTACCTATATGGTCAATAGTTGATCATTTTTCGAAGGGCATCATAACACTTCCATTTGTCTGGGATGTAGAATGGTTCAAAAATGTGAGGAAATGGTGTGTCATAACCACATACTCTTGATATAGGAGCCTCTAGGTTCAAGAAACATTCCTCCTGCAAACATGAATCAAGATGGTTAACTTCAAAAACAAGTTTTATTCACAGAAATGAAATAGTGCAACTTAAAATATTTCACTTACTCAAAATACAATTTCATCCAAGCACATAAAAAATATTTAAGTATATTGTAATATGAAAAAAGCAGGTAACAGCATGTTAGCATGATTCCAATTTTACTATATTTTCATGTATGTACATGCATTTTATACCTGTAAAATATCTGTCTAAGCCAGACTGGGATAATACCAAACATGCTGTTCTATGACTATAAATGGAAAGAATTATAAAAATGCAACAAAAATTCACAGTAGTTAACTCTGCAGAATGAAATTGGCAAGAATATATACTTTTTCATTTCCTGTTTTCCTCACATTTTATACAATATACATGTATTACTTTCATAATAAATGTTTGTAATTCCTACATGCGCCAGCCAGACTGAACTTCTATCAGTTACTTGACTGTGTTCTCATCTCTCTCATAGTCTGGCTTTTGCAGATGCTGCCAGTTCTCTGGCCACTCATAATCCAAGTCCACAGCTCTTTGCCTGACTGATATATGTACAAATCTCAGGTTATTAACCTCAGGAATCACTCCCGCTGAGAAGCCTTCCTTGACAGCACCTCCCCAACCCTACAGAGCAGATGAAGGAGGGGCTTCCACTCTGAGCTCCCAGAGTCCTGAACTTGGCATAATCCATTGCAGTTGCTCAATTATCTGTCTCCCATGAGAGACTATGAGCCCCATGAAGCTAGAGATCTGATTTAAATATGTAAAACCTCAGCTCCAGTAGAACACTGTATAAATATCTTCAGGGAGAAAAAAATGTTAGTAAAATTATTCAAATTTGAAATTGTTTTTGAGACAGGGTCTCACTTTCTTACCCAGGCTGAAGTGCAGTGGTGCAAACATGGCTCATTGCAACCTCAACCTTCCAGGCTCAAGGAATCCTCCCACCTCAGACTCCCAAGTAGCTGTGACCACCAGCAAGCACCACCACGCCTGGCCTTTTTGTTTGTTTGTTTTTGTAGAAACGGGGTCTACTTATGTTGCCCATGCTGGTCTCAAACTCCTTGGCTCAAGTGATCCCCAGCCTCCGCCTCCCAAAGTCTGGGATTACAGGTGTGGCCCACCAAGACTGAATATAAAATGTTTAAAGAGTCAAAAAATCTAAAAGAGGGAGGTGGTTAAACTATTCTGAGGAAAATAATATTAGTTTTAACATTCACAGCTATTACCTAAAATAAAACCTTGGTATTTATTTCATCTGTTTGCACATTGCCTTGCTTTATAAAGGACTTAAGGAAGCCCAAATTTTTTTACATATTATACTATGTTTACATTCTAATTAGAGTAGAAATTTTTACATGAAAGAATCATGACATCTCATGCTTTATCCCTACCCTCTGTGTGATTTCCTCCAGTGATAAGTGTACTGGGGTGGAAAGAAAATGCAAACAGCACATATTAACCCCAAAAAGAACCTATTGGACATTTACAGAACTCCCTTTGACCCCAATAACTTCCATGACTTACACCAAATAAGTATTGGTATTCCTAGCAACTGGAAATCTCCACAAACAACTTTAGGACTTTTAATACACACGGTTTAAAGAGCCACCTAAGAGATTCCACTACTAATAAGCTGAAAAGAGATGACAGACTGGGTGGATTGTTTTTTGTTTGCAACAAGTAATTTTAAAGACCTTTAAATTGTCAATTTGGGATTAGGTCAGTTTTATTACTTTAGCTGACAAAACACTGTTTTTCCATCTTCCCTGAATACTGAACTCTTCATAAACAAACTATCCATGGAAAATTAAGGGTAAAATAATTTTACTAAATGCCTTTGATTTTACACCTGTTATACAATGACTATTCTCTTGAACTAGTAGCTTGGAAAGCTGGCCCACCACAAAAAGATCTGTCAGTATTTGCTAAAATCACTCCTTTCAGCATAATAACTAACATCATCAAACTAGCTTTTTATTTTTTCAAATAGCAATGCTCCTAACTCCTCAAAAATGTAAGCATCACTCCTTCCAGGAATACATCTATATGTCTACACAAGCATAGAAAAACATCTACTGCGGGGACATACTGAGCTGTAAACAGTGGTTACCCTTTGAGGCTGGGAATCACAAGGAGGTGAGAGAAGACATCCACTTTCTGCTTTATAATATATTGTTTTGGTTTTTATAAAACAATATATAAAACAATGACGCTGAAATGAAGTAAAACAGTAAAGTGAATAATCATATTGTTATGTGAATAAAAGTTCCTGTTTTATGTTACATAAATTTGTGATTTTATACATAGGGCTTCTTTAATTTGGAAACAATTACTATAAATTACATGGCATTGCATTGTTATAAAATACTACTATAAGTACATAAAATGTATTGTAAAAATCATGGAGGATAATTCAAGGATATGTAAGAGAAGACTACGAATAGGGTATTCAATTTTTTTTAAGAATATATGCTGACTGACTGAAACAGCTTGAAATTCTCTTTACTAACAAAAGTATATTAACAAGCCTTAAGTTATTTCTTCCATGAACTTCAGTTTACACTTATTTTTAAGCAGTTGGAAATAAGACCCTTAGGTCAATCAAGCAGCTATATGGTTACTTCTCACTCAGTTGGTTCACACATAAATAATTTATGTGTATGTTTCTTTGAACTACCATCAAAACAGGACACCCTTGTTCAGCCTCAGTGTTTTAATGCAGAAGCTGTATATATGTGTACACACACACACACACACACACACACACACACAGAGAGAGAGAGAGAGAGAGAGAGAAAGAGAGAGAGGGAGTGGAGGGAGAGGGAGAGGGAGAGGGAGAGAGAGAGAGAGAGAGAGAGAGAGAGAGAGAAATACTGAATCCCATTGGCAGGTTTGTAGATTAATGGAGACAAAGTATCTCTCCATTATAAATACATGACGCCATAACCATAGCAACCACGTGCCCTGAATTTTCATGACAATTCAGATTAATCATATTCTTCTGTTCCATAACTTAAAAACCATATTTGATGATTTTTCATTCAGAAAAAGTAAGCCACATAAATTGGGGATTAAATAATGGGATACCCCACAGGGCTGTTGGGAGACTTACATGCATTATGCAAAATATGGGCTAGAAACAGGGAGAGTTTGTTTATGGTTTTTCTCCCTGCAAAGCTGTCTATGTGAGCTGGCTCAGTCCACGTGGAACAAAGACAGACGTGGCTGTGAGGCTCCCAAGCAGATTATGGTAAACATACAACCAGAGGCAACAGACAGGCACCTAGAGAAACTTTTCTCTAGCTATTCGGGGTCTAAAGTTGTACCCAGGGTCCAGTAAGAAGGACTGAAAATGAACCCCAAAACAACAATTTAGTACCACCTACATACATTCTGTTGTCTTATGTGCTTTCACATTGTCAGGTGCTTAAAGAAAAGTAGCTATTTCTTCCAAAAGACAAATGTGAAATTTTAGAATATAGTATTTGAATTTACTTCTCAATATGCCTTTTGGCAACAGGAGAATTTTCATTCTTAATTATGTTAATAATAAGACACCAGGCGTGGGCTAAGTGACTTATATTTCATCTCATTTAACCATTTTAACAAAGCTATGAAGTCCATATTATACTCCATTTCACAGGTGAGGAAACCAAGATAAAGGAGGCTGCCCGGGGTCAAATCATTACATACACAGCCAAGTAATATTCAAACCTGACTAAAAAGCCAATTTTCTTAGTCACTCTTCTGCAAATTTTAAGACACTGCTATTAAGAATAGCAATAATAAAGGAAAAAATGAATTAGGAATGAAAAAGAATGGTAGGGAGCCACGGTGGCTCAGGCCAGTTGTCTGGGCGCTTGAGGAGGCAAGGCTATGCGTTCGAGGCCAGGCTGGGCAATATAAGAACCTGTCATTCATTTAAAAAAAAAAAAAAGGAAGAATGGTAATACAGAAGGCAGGCTGGGATTATGAAGGTTTTACAACATAGCCTTGAGGGGCATATGAGTTAAGTTCAGTCTTAGAAGCCTCTTTCACATATAAAGAAAGGTAGAGGCTAAGATAAGTGAAGGAGCTGAAAACACTAACTTGAGCATGAAGGTAAAACACAGAGCAATGAACAAATGGTCCTGGGTACTGGGAAGCTCCTAAGCTATACTAAATGATTCTAATAAGCATAACTCCAATTGTTTATATATTAGCCATCTAGATTGCTATGCACATAGTAGCCAAAAAAGAAAGCAAACAATGTGAAATAACAATTCCAAATCGTAAAATCATGGACATGGGCAAAATAAATTGTCTTCATTTGCCTATTTTCTATGAAAAAAAACAAAACAAATTTATCTTTTTGTTGTGTTTTATTTTTGGAAAACAAAGTATCTTGTTAAAATTAGGGAAGACAGAGAACTTTAAAATTTTCTAGCAGGTAAGAGCGGACAAGTCAAATTAAAAGAATAAGATCCATTATGGTTTAAAAATAAATAAAATATATTTATGGGGTTTTTACAAATTAAGAGTACATCACTTATTCCCACATTTTGATGAATGTAATATGTTAACATATTATGTACCCATAAATACACATATATTAGGGTTTTCACAAGATTCCTTGAGATCTCTTAATATCTAACCCTACTTCTCCATTCATGTTTTAAGTATGTCAATCCCTAATTCTTCTTGTCACAGTGTCACTGGAGTTACATCACTGAAGTCTCTGTCTCAGGCACTATACATCGTAGCTTCAGTCACCCTCAACAAATCTTTTTGTTTTTTTTTTTTTTTCATGGCAAGGTTTCATAATATAATTGATACAGCATGGAATTTAAGAAATCTTTGCTCTATTGTGATTTAACCTCTCTGAGACTGTTTATTCAACATCAAAATAGAAGTAATACAATTTCCCATTATTGCATTTTCCTGTTGTTTTATAATTCTGTTGTTATCTTGCCTCTATGCCTACTTAGATTCTGCAACAGCATATAAAAAGTACCTGGTTTCATGCCTGACATGTCATAGTGCTCAATAACTGCTAGGTTTTATAAGTTAAAGGAATCCCATATTTATAATAAATACAAGGTATTTGAAATGATAGACCAAATCATCATTAAAGACAAAATTCAGATACACAGAACACTCAAAGCTGAAAAGTAGCATCCGTATGGCACAATGCCTAATAAGCTACTTTATTAAACACTTACTAAGCCAAAAATGTGTAAGAAAAATACCAAAAATAACGTAAGTGCTATATGAGAAAGGAGGGTGGAGAGCACTGCCACAAAGCCAGAATGCACTCAGGCCTCTAGGACAGGCAGTGGCCGGTGCTGCCCCCTGGTGGGGAGCAGGACACCCAATCACTGCTGTTTACTGGGGGGCTGGAAATCCCTCTGCACCCCCACAAAGCGCCTATTTTCCCACTATAGAAAAGTGGCCTATCATTCGACTTCCAAAAAGTTTTGAGTAAAAGAGCCCAACAGACAAATGGATGTAATGAACGTATACACACTTTAAAAAACAAGAGTCAAGAATAAAGACCATTCAATATTATTTGGTGTGTTTTTAA